GAAAATCAAGCAGTCCAATCAATAAATAGGCAAATTATCACAAAAGACACTTCTCGATGGCGGACAGACAACAGCAACTACTGAAGGCTCTCTGAAAGGCTCGGCTCAGAGGCCAGGAATGATGCGGACTAAGGAGACACGAACCAGTAGAGATATGCTCTGCTGACTCAGGAACGAACTGGGCTGAGAGAAACCAACTTAGAATACAGTCCTGGCACTAAAATAGGAACAGAAAAGACTCGGTGTGGAGGCTCGACCCCGCGCCATTGGAAACTGCGATTTGGGTTTCCCGCCACCCGGCGGCTGGCTGCCTCCTCAGCGGCTCGGCAAGGAGAGACATGCAGAAGCTCTGGGAACGGGAGTCTGTGAACGGAGTCGGAAACAGGACAGACAAGGAGGCGTACACGAAAACTGACTGGTGGCGAGGTGAGTGAGAAACTGACCCCCTACCACAGTTTGACTCCAGCGGAGGACTTTCTGGGCTCAGGCAGTCCTGTAAGAGCAGGGCGCGGTGGCAACTCCAGCCGCACATTCCCCTCTCGGACGGGATTGGTGAAAAGTGCCTGGCCTGAGTGACGCTGCTGGCGGACTCCCTAGGCTGGCCTAACCCAGATCCCAGAGCCTGACAGTGGCCCGGAGGAGCGACCGACTCCCGCGTAGGCTGCCTCCTCCGCGACTCCCTGGTGCGCAGCGGTGGGCGGGAACACCTAGCCAGTGCAATTTGATCAGGCTGTGGCTGACAGGCAGGGAAGCCAGGCCTCCTATGTAAGCTTGCATTTTATAAGGAACAGAAAATATGGGGAAGGGAAGCAACAAAAAAGGCTCCTCGGCCCCCAATCCTGAGAAACAGGCAATAGTGGACACTGCACCAATATACATTCAGCGCCATATAGAGAGCCTCATAGACCAATTCAGGAATGAAGTTATCAACGACCTGAAGCTAGAAGTATGCAGAATAGTTAGAGGAATGCTAAGCACCACCCAGGAAAAAACAGGTGGTGGAATGGAAGAACAGAAAAAGAGGGGAGAATTGCTTGATGGAGAAAACAGAGAAAGCATTGAGTATGTGAAGCAGGTTCAAAGGGACTATCAAGAAATTAAGAAGTCTATCCAAGACTGGCATAACAGCTTGAAAGAAACTAAGGACAGACTATCTGAACTGGAGGGCAGACTTGAAATATGGGAGAATGAAATGAAAAACTTCTTAAAAATAACAAAGAAACAAACAGCAATAATACAAAGACAAGAAGATGGTAAGAGGAGCCATAACTTAAGGATTAAGAACATAAAAGAAGAAGTAGGGATACAAACAAGTGAACTACAAAAGCTACTCACAGAAATAATCCAGGAGAATTTTCCTAATTTAGCAAAAGGTAAAGATACTCAGATGTATGAGGCATACAGGACCCCAGCTACCTACAACCCTAACAGAGAAACACCCAGGCATATAATAATAAAAATTCCAGAAATTCAATACAAGAACAGAATATTAAAAGCTGTAAGAGACAAGAAACAGATCACTTACAAGGGAACACCCATCAGAATTACAGCAGATTTCTCTTCACAAACCATCAAATCACGAAGAGCATGGAGGGAAATAATTCAAGCATTGAAAGATAATAATCTCCAGCCAAGATTGAGATATCCTGCACAACTGTCCCTGGAAATTGATGGAAAAACGAGGTGCTTCCAGGATAAAGAGGAACTGGGGGAATTTGCAACCACCAATTCAACCCTACAGAAAGTATTGCAGGATATTCTAAAAAAAGAAAAATACAAAGAACCCAGAAATAGTGGTGGGGAGGCCACAACGAATGGAGCAGAGAACAAAATGAAGAAGACAAACTGACAGCTACTGACAGAAAAAGAGCTCAACAGAAATGAGACAGAGAAGATTGGATGATAGGAACAGCTATTTTGGAGAAAATGACATCTTAATAGGTAATACTGATTTAGTACCATCTTGTTTTGAAGTCTCATCTAGCTTTTGTTCTTCTGTCTCCAATGGTCTAAACAGGTTGTATCTTATTGGATTTTGTTATGTACGATAGTATAAGCAAAAACCTTTTAAAGACAAGGAGATTATACAGAGACCATTGTTCATTTTCTGTTAGTCGATTTTAAATACTCTATAATGCTGTCATTCTCTTAAATGGTTTTACATTGTTTTGATATACTTAATGCTACAGTATACGAAGTTGTACTCAAGGATTTCAAAGAAAGAGACAATATGGTAACTACTTTTAGGTTAGGATTATCTGGTGGTGAAACACTATTCTGCTTAAATGGTTATGTTTTGATCTGCGCTGTTTCGTTGTTATGCCCTCTTTTATCTCAATCTCCACTCCATTATTTACTTTTTTATCTTTATCCTTTTAATTAAAGGGAAAAAATAGCAGGATATATTATAGTAACCCACTTTGACTTTTCATTACCTTGATTTAAAGCCCTGTATTACTCTCACCATCTGGTTTTTAACTGATGTTCCCCTATTCTGTTTTGCTGGATAGTATCAGGTTCGAAAGTTTAGGCATCAGCTGTGAAGATAATGAGATTCATTATAACGCCCATTCTCGTTGACTTTTATCTACTTTTGAAGACCTACAATATCTCCAATGTTTTGGTTTTGTCGGTTTTATTCTTTACTGTTTTGTTCAATTGTATTACAACTAATGATATAGGCAATTCTATTAGAGATAGCGGGAGGCATTATGGTAACCATTGTTGATCACCTTGTATTATGTTTTTATATTATCTATTATATCCACCCTTTTGACTTGACCGATTCTGTTCTGTTATGTCACATTTGGCTTTACTCTCTTCCAAAAAAGCAATAAGAACCGTGGGAGCAATGAAACCCAAAATGTGTAATAGTCACTATACAAAAGAGAGGAAAAGAAAGTGCTCTAAACTATATAACTGCATGTATATTTAAATGTATAAGATAGAAAATGATATCACAGAGTTTTATTGGATCATTGAACAGAACTGTTGGCAGTATCATTGTTGGAATGTCCACTCTACAAGCTTTAATTTTGTGACTTGAACAATTATTTCTAAGATGGCAATATGTAATCCATTAACTAGTGATTTCCTACTGCGCATTTTTTTCTTCTGTAAATCTGTATAACTTGTACCCCTTCACTGTTTTTTTTTCCTTTCTTTTCTTTTCTCCTTAAATAAAAAAAAAAAAGACACTTCTCAAAGAAGAAATACAAATGGCCAATAATTATATGAAATGTTCAATGTCTGTAGCCGGTAGGGAAATACAAATCTAAATTACATTGAGATTCCATCTTGCCCAAGTCGGAATGGCTATTGTCAAGAAAACAAAAAATGATAAATGGCTGGAGAGGACATTGGATAAAAGAAACTTTTCAGCCCTCTTGGTGGGAACGTAATTTCCATTATGGAAATCAGAATGGAGATTTCTCAAGAAACTAAAACAAACTACTACATGGTTCAGCTATACCACTCCTTGAAATATAATCATTGACATCAAAATCAGTGTAAAGGGCTCAGAGATTTAGTTCAGTGGTGTAAGCATCTACCTGGAAAGCACAAGGTCATGGGTTTGATCTCTGGTGCCAAAAAAAAGTCAGTGTACTGCAGTCATCTATATAGCATGTTTGTGGAAGCACTAATCACAATAGTCAATTTATGGAAAAAGCCTAGGAACCCATTAACAGATGAAGGGATAAAACCAATGCACTGTATATACACACGGAGTATTATTCAGCCACAAAGAAGAAAATCACATCATTCGTGGGAAAATGGATGGACCCGGAGATGATCGTGTTACCTGAAAGAAGGCAGACTCAGAAAGAGCTGTCTCATATGTGGAATCTAGAAGAGAAATAGTAAATCGACGTAAAGGAGAGGGAAACTTTTAGAGAAGAGGAAGAGGAGCAAAATACAAGAGCAGGAGAAGGAAGGATCAAAGCATGCCGCATGTGTCTTATGGAAATGTCACAGTGAAATTCAGTGTAATAAATATGTGCCAACAGAAACAAAGATCAAAAGTGACAATAGCCAAAGAAAAAGTAATGTTCCAACACGGATGAATATCCAAAATGTTACAGTGAGTGAAAGAACCCAGACACACAAGGCCATACATTATAATTCCATTTATATAAAATGCCCCGAATAGGAAAGTTCATAAAACTAAAAACTTTAGTAGTGACTGAGACCTGTGAAAAGGGAATAAAGAGCGACTGCTAAAAGGCACAAAGGTTATATTTTGGAGTGATACAAAGGTGCTGGAAAAAGACAGTGATGGTGGGTATACATTCCTGAAAATTTAGAGTTGTACCCACTGAAGTGGTGAACCGGTAAGCTTTACGTTACGTGGATTTTATCTTTAAAATATTATCTTAAAAATGTGGAGCAGCAGTATTATTCCCATACAAATGTATTATCTGTTTAATATAAAAATCAAATTGACAACAGCTTTGAAATAGAGCAGTTATATAGGTTATTAGGAAAATTGGGGAAATTTGAATGTGGAAATAGGGATTAATATAGTGGTGTCTCAGTTCACAGTTTTGTTTGCCATTTGTTGGCAACGGAAGCCTTTGGCAAGACTGGTTTTGTTGGCAAATTGTGCATCGGGTGAGGAACACGATCACGGTGATCTTTCCCACACACATGTGAACATGGTCATCTTTTTCACAATTAAAGAACGAATTAAGTTCATGAACTGAAGCACCACTGTGTTACTATATTGTTATAATCCTTGGGTGTTATGGTGGTCTTGGGGTTATCTGGAAATTACTTCTTCATAGGACAAAGGGATCAAAGTAATAAGGACTAAAGTATTGCCAAATCTCCAACTTACTTTCAAATTGTTGAGGAAAAAAATCTTAAGCAAGGTTCCCAAATTTAGTAACCAGGGTGTCCAGATGAACAGTGTAGGGAGGTTCATTGTTCTAGTTTTCAACTTTTCCATTAGTTTGAAGCTTTTCAAATTAGACAGTTGGAAAAAATTAAACCAGACAAAATCATTCTTTGCATTCTTTATTTCTTCAGCCTGTTTAAGCAGTATTGAAACAGGTTTCTCATACGTGCAAACATTCTTTTTTATAGACACACATTATGAAATATTGAATGTTACAAATTATGACATTGTCAAAATTCACGGAAGTACTCAAGAATCAGATAAAAGACTTATATGTAAATTTTCTAGGGCAAACATAAAACAAAAATGAAAGGTATCAGTGACACTAATCTTTAAAATGGGTTTTCCCTAAATTCGCAATTTCTCTATCCTCCTCCTTCTTTATCTCCCCCAAATATTCATTATATTGTATCCTGAAAGTAGGAAATTCTTCAAAACCAGTTGTATGACACAATATATGATGCTCTCTACAGATAAAATCTATTCCTCAGCAAACTGTAAGCCATTGAAAGAGTAACTCCGTATCCAACAAAGAAAGCCAGACCCCTGTTTGGCTGGGGAAGGGGTAACAGATAAGCCATTGTGTGGTAGAACCGTGATCCAACAAAGATTCTGAAGTGCAGGAGGGCTGTGGAGAGATCTGGACCACTCAGAGAATACAGAAGACCAATCCCGAGAAATGGCACGATATTTTCCAGGTCATTCAGGTGGGCCCTGAGGAGGAAAAAAAATGACTAATAAAATTGCACCATCAGTAGACGTATGTTCGGTCCCCCCTCTTTCCTAAAACTAAGTGCGTTAATGGATCTTCAAAGCACAAACTAAGAGCCTTTTTTTCCTCTCTCTAATTATCTTGTCTTCATACCCACTTTGCTTTTCTTTAAAACATCTCATTATTTCGGTTTCTTTTTATTTTTAGTATATGTTGATAAATAACTGAAGAAATTTTGTAGTCTCTGGAATATCAAAACTGCACCTATTTGGAAGAAAAACACTTCACTTTTTTCAATATGAAATATATGGTCGCAGTTCAAGATTCTTACAAAAATCCTTCTTCCCTTTTGGTTATCATCTTTCTTAAGCCTCTTTTAGTTCTATTAATTTTCAAAATGGTTATTTCTCAAATCCCTGTCCACTCACCCAAACTAGCAGTCTGGTAAAATTAATTTACCCCCCAAAAATCAAGAGTCTCATACTCCAAATATCCAGACCACAGAACATATAATTAGCCTCTTGAATATACATAAAATTCAGCTATTCTAACTTCAAATCACAAAAGGAATTAGTTCATGATGATACAGGAAAAATACAAAGTATACACAGAAGACAGTAAGAGGAAAAGAGAGTCTCTAAATTTTATCTTTATAGAATCACTAGAAGAAAAATAAAGTTTGCCTTAGCCACAGATTTCTCTTGATTCATGGCACCTTGAGAGCTTTTTTAGCTAGGGTTGTGAATAAAAGGCACATTATTGTCTTGAGATTTTTAAAAAAGTGAATAATTTAAAATGTGATGTCTCTTTTTAAGTCCACAGCATTTAAATTGCTTTAGGATCTCAACTAGAAATACAGATTTTGATAGCTTGTCAGCTCCTGATACACATTTCAGAATGAAAAACGTGTCTGTTATGTTGCTCTCTTCAATTACGTATTACGTGAAATATAATTATGACACGCTGGCTGCTTAGCGACCATCAGTAGTTCCCCTCCTCGCTAGTCTCCTGTTTTCCTGAGATCGCTAACACTGCCTCACAAAGATGCTCACAACATGAAGTTATGAAGCAGCAAAAGTAACCCAGGTAAATTAATGGTTTGAAAGGGTTTACATAACCACCTGCCCCTGAATAAACGCAAAGCCAGAATGCAATAAGTGTGTTTGTCCCCCTCTCTTTCATGAGATAACCCAAGGACTCCTAAAGTAAGGCAGAGATAGGCAAGAAAGGACAAGAACATCATTTTCTATTCCAGAAGGACCTGCTTCATCAGCAACACCGAGGACGTTTCTCTCCATCCCTTGAATTCTCCCATAACACCAGAAACATCTTTACCTCCAACTGGAGCTTGTAGCTGTTCTCCCTTGTAGCATTCTACAATCACAGAGACTTTAGAGTTGAGAAAGTAACTGTAAAAAGAGAGATCCTGCAGGAAGCCATCTCTGCTGCTAAGCCAACCTGACTGTGGAACAGAATGCCCAGTACAGCGGGAAAGAAAGTCCCAGATAACACAAGAGAATGTGAGAGCCAAGAGAAGGAAGCCAACCTTACTGGGCTCTCCATGTTTTTCTGGTGCTTCCCTCATTTTCTCTCCCTCTTTTACTTCTCTCTCCTTCCCAAATCTCTTTCTCTTTCCTCAGTTCACACAAGGTCCCCTCAGCTCCTACCATTCATAGAGGGCTCACAGAAAGGCCTGGTTGCCACACATCTGCAGAGTGCATGCCAAACTTTTCCCAGAGACACCTTTGCCCAGCTCTCCCTGGAGCACTCCTACTTAACCTTCCTCTGCTCCAGTGAGACACCCTACAGAGGGGCAGCTCCCCTCCCCTTGGCCTCTGCTGACAGCAGCCAGGGCCTGGAAGACACCGTCTTCCCGAGTGACTCCTTTTGACTGGGGTCTGTTCTTTTTATGAGTCCTCCTCTCCACCTTCTTTCTTCCTTGCAACACCCTTGCTTTGGGGCAGACCTCCCCACAAGCTCTGTGTTCAGGGTGCCCCTGTCACACTTTGCTTTTCCAACTGGATCCTGGCCTCTGCTGCAACCGAAATGGAGTTGTTACCCATATTTAAGAATGGTCAAGGGCTGGCCAGCTACTAGAGGAGCTCAGCATCTCCACTGACGCCCTTGCCTCGGCCAAAGTACTCGCTCCCGCACACAGCACTGCACCCCTAAATCCCACAAAGATATTGTCTAGACTTGATCTCTTCTCCTTTCTTCTTCCTCCTCTAAATCATATTTAATTCTTCCATTATGGAATGTTCCTAAGTACTCCAGGAATTTATGTGCGTATCCCCTGTCCTGTAAGATTTAGCGATGTATAGCTTCACCTGATTCAATTAATCACCATATGCACATTGACCTAACTTTCATAGGAAATGCTACAAACCCCCCAGAAAAGCTCTTTGATGACATCCCAAAAGAAGACATGACAGTGATACATGGCAATAAATGATATGTTCATGCAATGGGTCTTGAATTCTTGGACACAATGAAATATGATTAAATAAATATGTGAATTATTTTCCAACCATCATTTACTTCTGTCTGCCGAGAACTCAAATAATTGAGTCCATGCCACATATCTTAATATTTCAACACATACTGCTTTGAGTTTTTAATTGTGCAATATGTGTACATACCCACTCTTTCAATACAGCATTCCTCAAAGCATACCTTTCACTTTATTTGTAGATCTATTGTTGAGTTTTTACTTTATTTGTGGTGCCTGCCAGTGAAATATGATATAAGCAGGGAGACAGTCTAGGTTAAAATGGAAAAGGAACATCATAGAAATATTTCTCTGCAAATTATCTCTAAAAGTGTGTTGCTATGAGAAACCTTTTTGATGCGCTCAATAAATCCTGAAAGCTCACTGCTGGAAACTGGACACCTTCTTAGGAGACATTTCCACTTGCCACATTGAGCCTGCACTATCTTGTCACCAGGGGGCGCTATTCGCAAGGCGCTGCACCGCCTCACATGACAGCTAGGGTCAACCGTTCTTACTAAAATGTATCTGTCACCCTTACTAAGAAGATCCACTTAGATTACAGCTTTCTCTTCTAGAAGTACAATCCCATTGGGATGAGAGGTGGGATGAGAAGTTAGAAAGGATACTGAGGAGGAGTCTAATTCCCCAAAATGCCTTGCGTTAAGCTTTCATACATAAGAGTTACTTGCATCTTCCTTTCCATCTTGGCATTTCCAAGTTACTTGGCATTTTCATCTAATGCCACTGCGGGTCTAACTGCTATCAAGCTAAAGTCGCTGGCAATTTTCTGAGCACTACACAGGGCATGATTAGTAACCTTCAGGTGGCCGCCCGCTCTCAAAGGGACACAGAAAGGCTATAATAATGCTTTAAATTGTTTAATGTCTCCAAAGCTTTGCTAATCTTCTCTAATGTGTATTCTTTCTCATCATAGCATGAATAGCTTTTCCTCTGATACTGTTTGAGATTTTTCACATTGATTCTTTGTTCAGAAATGATTTTAGGTCCACGGTCTCAATACAACCCATTTTGCAGACTGGTAGACTTACACAGAAAGACTGGGGAATTAAATAAAGAAGCAGAACCAGACTTTAACACTTTGTTCTAAGTATAAAACATGGATTTCTTCTTAAACCAAACAAAAACAAACAAAAAACAAACTTGCTTGATAAAGAGCTTGGGAGTATAAGCCATGTTGCATAAGCAAGAAGTAAATTTAATTATGGTGCTGAAAAGGCAGTAGAGTATATGGGTAAGGGAGGAGCCCCCCCAAATGGTGTAAGGATGGACACTACTCCAGGTACAGAAGACAGTGCAAATTCCTCAGAGAAGGCTGAAGGGCGTGGTCAGACCCTGAGCTCTAGCACACAGCTTCTAATGTTTGTGTTGCCACAAGGTCTTCTGCACTTCAACTCAGCCAAATCCATTTTTATCCACATTTTTTTCACTCGACTTGCTGTGGGAACTGAGGGAAGGGCTTAGTTTACATTGAACATAACGAAATGTAGACTACGGAAATATGCACCCAGGCATGAACTCCAAGTCAGAGTTAATCCTGGAACCAGTTACCTGGTACCATAAGGGAATCTGCATAAATGTTGGAAGGGGCTGCAGACTTCCACGGGGATAATGCAAATATAATCTGGGGGTTTTGGCAGACAGCTCAGTTACAGAAATGGAGTAGTTCTTTACTCTTCGTCTTGATTTCACTCTTCAGAACTATATCACAGTTTGAATTAGCAATAGAAGATAATAAATGAGATGATGATAAACAACTTTGATATTTCATATGTTAGAAAAACGTGACTAGTGGATTGGTAGTGAAATTTCATCAAAAAGGTGTTGCACATTGTATGACTTTATGACAAGGATTAAGAAAAAGACGTCCAGAACTAGAATTTAAGGTGGTTTAAAACAAGTGTATTAACTATACTGTTAGAAGACTGTATCTTTTCTTTCCCTCTCTTTATTACAACAAAATTTACACATTTTGGGGTGCCCTGAAGGATACAACAGCAAGGGTGTTTAGGTGTGTTACATAGAAGACCATATTAATAATTTTGATTGGATTACTGAACACATCTGCTTGCAGTCTCACTGTTTGAAGGTTCGCTTTGTGTGCTTTGATCCTGTGACCTGAAACACCGTTTCTAAGATGATAGGGAGTAATCTATTAACTGGTGATAGCTTACTGTCTTGTTTTTTTGTTTTTTTGTTTTTTTGTTTTTTTTTTTTTTTTTTTTTGTAGTTCTGAATTACTTGTACCCTTACAGTTTTGTTTTGTTCTGCTTTTTTTTCTCTTTTTCCTTTTAGATAAAATTTTTGCTTTTTTTTTTTTTTTTTTTTTTTTTTTTTGTATTTGTATTTTTACAGGTACCAGGGATCGAACTCATGACTGCTTGCTTGCAAGGCAGGCACTTATGCCACTGAGCTAAATCCCCAGCCCCCTTAAATAAAATTTTTTTAAAAATTTAAAAAAGAAGACTGTATCTTTGCTTATTGATTTTCATTGTCCACTGAATTCCTATAAAACATAATATCTACAAAACAGAGACAGAGACAGAGAGGGGAGAGATTTCCCTACTTCTCTAAACATGGGCAGCTTTCATAGTTTGAATCTGATGCAAGAACACCAGGTTCTTCAAGCTCTTACAAGAGTTGACGGTCTTACTTCTGCAGAAAGACGACAAAACTGCACAGATCATCTGACTTCATTTTGCTTTCTGCCTGTCCTTACTGTAGCTATATTCCTATACACAGCATGCTTACGAACTCAAGAAAATCCATAGAAAAGTAAAGACAAAATTGGCAGTAAGTGTAATTGCAGTAATACTTGGAGGCTTCTAGATCCCTAATTTGCTGTAATTATCACACAGAGCAGCTAAGACGACCAGCCTTCCCCCTTATTCTCTAAAACCCAGCCTCGGTACTGCAGACCCTGGCCAAAAGTGAAGCAACTAATTTCCAGAGACAGGAGCTTACCTTCGCACACGCTCCACACTTTCATCTGTTCGAAGAAACTTCTTGACATTCTCTCCTTTGCCAAAGCTTTCACAGTCTTCTGGGTTGGCAAAAACCTATTCCGCACACCAAGAAAACACTTATTCCAAATACTGAGGAACACGGGTGTATTCTGCCTAATAATAATCTGCATTGTAATGAAAGATACGCAGGCTTTCAAATTGGTCTTTACGGAGAGAAAATTGAAACAATACATCAAACACAGGACAAAAAGCAAACACCCAGAGCATTAACCTGGAACTTTACTCACAGTGCAAAACAATGCTTAAAAATAAGCAAATGTAAGAACTTCAGTAAAAATCAGCATTTAAAAACAATAATGAAAAGGAAATAATGATGGAAAGGGCGAAGAATTCTAAGTTATCGATGACCACTAAAATGGTGGCACCTTTTCATGGTGATGTTGGCACATTGTCCCTTAAGTTTATTAATATTTCCCACTGATTGGCTCTGACCTGAAATTAATACATTGACTTCCCCAAAGATGTTGGAGAACATGAAAGACTAAGGGATGGGGAGATGGGGAAGATATTGTTAAGACATGGATATTTCTTTTTCTGTTTAAAACTTCCAGTGGACTAATACACTGAAATTTAAGAAGCTGAATTATATTACTATGACTAACAAGCATAAGTTTTAGGGCATGTGTTTATATATTCCTTTCTGCAATTATTATGCTGTTTGAAATGATTTCCTATCCCTTGGAACTTGAAATATGCATTTAAAAAGTATTTAAGCATGCCCCACTGTTTAATAATTTATAAAAAAGAAAAAACACTATAAAATTAATTTTAATTTAAGCTTGAAAAACATCTCATAAATATTGTAGTAATTTTTTCTTAAAATGATATGAGCAATTAATCCAGATAAAAGATATTGATAAGAAGTGATGGGCAGAGATCCAATCCTTCTCTCTTGGGCTCAGGTCGGACCTATCAGGTTCATCACAGTGTCCTAAAAGTAAACGCTTGGCCCACATTAAATGTTCAATATATACAGTGTAAATAAAGAAATGAACTACCATGGAAAGTGCATGAGATGTGGGCTTATACCAATCTGAATTGGAAACAGCCTCATCCTTTGCTGAATGTAACCTTGGGTAAACTGCTGCTATGGATGCAATGTTTGCAGTCTCATAAAATACACAGGTGAAAGTCTAAACCCCATGTGATAACACTGGGAGGTGGGGGCCTTTGGGAGATGGTAAGTCATAGGGTGGAGCCTTCATGGATGGGATGGAAGGAGGATACAGTCCCTGCTCTAACTAACTCCATTTGTCTCTCTCTGAGTCCACTTGCCTTTAACTTTTTTTATCCTTCTGAGCCATTCAGTTCTGCATTTGCCTTGGCATCCATAAACAGCCTGCTCCATATAAACCTTTATGACCAAGGACCAAAACCTCCCACCATGCAAGTGTGAGCTCTGCATCACAGATCACCCATGATGAGATTTCCTGGGAGCAGTTGGCACACTCTCCCCATGGGAGCCTCATGGGAGTTGATGGCTTTCTCAGAATCCAGCAGAGCTGGTCCTGAGATACAGATCAACCTCACCACAGCTTGACCCTGTTTGTTTACCTGGCCAGTTACATAACTCCCTCAGTCTTGCAAACCTCCACCCCTTGCCTTTGTTTGCCTCTTCTATAAAACCTCAAAGTTCCTGTTGGCTCCTGCACACCTCTGTCTTTCCTAGCACGACCATCTGCCTTTATCACTACTCATCTCCTTGGCTGGCATTTTTGGACAGGTGGATATGCCCAGTCTTTTGGGCCCCTCTAAGACAAGGCTTTCATCCTAAAACCCCAGTAACTGGATTACTGGCCTCATAAAAAGAGACAGCACAAAGGACAGAGACACCCCTTCCACCATTGGCCCCAAGTAAGTATGCAATGAAAGGATGCTAAGAAGAAAATAGAAACCCAGCCCTCACCAGACCCTAGAATAACGGAATCTTAACCCTAGACTAGCCTACCTCCAGAACTATGAGGAATAAATCTTGCTTGAGCAACCCCTATTTTGTAAGATATTTTGTAAGAGCAGCCCAAAGTGACTCAGCTATTAACCTTCTATGGCACCTAGTTCCTTTGCACCTGAAAAATGCTAAGAAAAAAAAACGAAAACACAATGATGCCATGACTTAGCACACATGAAAACTAACAGCACCTTGCCTTCCACAAATTGGAATTCCTTGCTTCTTGGCTTATAAGACTTGGTATGTTTCCTTGTTGCCCTTTTGTTTCTAGAGGAGGGTTTGAATCTGTAGCAGGCAGCCAGTGTGTGTTTGTTGCTACAGTAGGTGGCCTCCTAGTCACAGCCTCCACAAGTGTAAGAAGTTTCTCCATTAAATTGCAAATACATTTCCTCTTTACTTCAAGACAGAAAGAAAGAAATACCTTAAGAGAAGACTGTGAACTCCAGATAAAAGCAAGGCTCTGGAGGACAAAAACTCGGAACAGGCACTAGAAGAAAGATGTGTGGACCCAGAAAGAGGTGGAATACGCACAGAATGCATCCATAAAAATTCTTCTTTGTACAGAAGCCTGGCTCTGCCCTCTTCCCTGACACACTGTGTCTTAAGTCCCGACAGAATACAAAGTAAGTGCTCCAGAATCTTCCCACCACCTTGCCCCACCTCCAGGTTTTAAAAAGTCATTCTTAAAATGCTAGAAACATTCATTATCCACTTAAGAAACCCATTCAATGGCTGGCCTGTTCCAATCAGGAGCGAGCTCGCGCTACGGTAAGAGTAAGGACTTGACCTCTCGGCTTGCCTATCTTTCTCTTCTTTTATTTGTGTCTGTCTTTCTTTATTTTCAATCTTTTTCTTTTTCTCCCCCACCAAAGTATACCCTTGACCTATAAATAGACAGAAAACAGCAGTAAAGTCTAACTGACAAAGTGAACTCCAAAACCACAGAAATCACCCTTACAGTAAAATTTAGCATGAGTAAAACCTTAAGACACCAAAAATCATACCTATTAAGTAGAATGAGAAATGGTAAAAGCCAAAAGGAAAAAAAGGTAGTTGTTGAGTGAAAGCAACTGTCTATGAATGTACAATATCCATCTGCATCACAGGATTCTGAGCTTCACTTGCAGCACTGAGCAGTGCGCTGTTATGTTAAAAAAAAAAAAAAGACAGAGACTGTTTGCCAGAGTGCAACTTCTAAAAGCCCGCTTACCTTTTTCGTTACTCTGAAGAATGCCGTTGCAATACTCATGAACATCATTTTTGAAAGAATAATTGTTGCATAGGAGGCAAAGGCCATCAAAACTTCATTGTCCATCAGCTTGGCGGGATTAGCCATTTTTTTTTCAACGTTGGCCTAAAATCCTAAAAACATTTTAGACATGAAGGAACAAAATAGACAGAAATACCCCCCAAATACTTGGCTATGCACTTATTATAGCATTAACCACATTGTTCTTAAAAATACCTTAGGCTAGTTGCAAAAGAAATAATCGTTTTTGATAGAATTTTGGCGCGATTGAAAAGATAAGAAGTATGAAATATAAATGACCTTTAAGAATGTGGGGAGAGAGCCCCTGACCCTCCGGGATCTGGCATTGGGGGGGGCTGGCATTCTCTCCCTCGAACATGTTGTGTGGGGGCATACATATAACTTAGGTTTGGGGTGGTGCCTAAGGGGCATCAGTGATGCACAGGTAGCCCATTGATATTCATTTTGCCCCACAGGTAAATTCCTAGTGGTGGGGTAGATGTCCTCAAGATAGAGCCTCTTGGTTCCACCTCCAAGGCTTTACAGTGTCCGGCCTAGGGCAAGATTCTTTCAGTTTTGAGTTTTAAAAATCACAAAATAAATACTATTATATTTCCTCTGGTTCTGTATCCTTAAGCATTAAATGAAAACAAAGAGGATATTACAACCAAAGCCAGTCAAAATATCCTAAAGAGACTAACAAGCATCACATCTGCATCAAAATGAACTGGAGATTAAATGTAAAAGAACATAGATCATGGACCTGTCTCTCTAGAGACAGACTATATGCATATCAGTACCACGACATTTCATTGTGATCGCCTGAATTATAATGCACGTCCTCCATCAGAAGCCCAGTTTATAGCTTTTTGTCATTTCAGTAGTAGTTTAAGACCTCAAGCTCCAAGATTTGAATTGTAACCCCACAATCTTGGTATCAGCCCTCATTTATAAGATAGGGATAGTAATGGTTCCCAACATCGAGTTATTGTTGGATGTAACTGAGAAAACACGTAGAGATACTTAACATAGCAGCTGGCCCTTGCAAAAGACCCTCAATAAAGTTTATGGTGTCCTTATCATGTTATCATTAGCATCAAGATCATGGTGCTTATTAATATGGACAGAGGCAGAGGAGGAGCTGAACAATGGACATGCCTGGGTAGGGAAAAGACACATGCAGTACTTTACCAAAGAAAGGAGACGCTTAGCTGTACATGATTCTTTACTCCAGCCCACATTCCACTATTTACATCCATCTAAAAATTGTCTAGAATAAACTGAAAGTACCCATCTCAGTCTAGTAAGCAATGCATTGCAAATGTGCTCAAGAGGAAGAATGAGACCTACTAATGATTCTGGACCAAATGGGTAGAAAGTTAGAGTGAGACTTCACATACCTTTCCTCCCACCCAACTTACACTGACTTCTTCTGTTTGGTATATGTAAGTATTGAGTCTTCCTGATGAAGTCCAGTCCTCCCCTTGAACCTTAACTCCTGCCTGAAACCTTAGTAGATTAACATTCTTCATTCTCTCTCGTTTGCCAGTTGTATACAAAGCATGGTCAAAAGTACAGTGAATATTTAAAGTTTACAAAACATATTATAGGAAAAGACACATTCCCAAGCATAACGGAAATGTGTATTTGAAATAAGGGGGTGGGGGCAGTTTTAGTACTTTGAGAGGGACTTGTGCCAATGTGTCCTGTACTACGTAATTGATGGACTGTCCACTCTGTGGCTGGCCCAGCTAAGAACCCCTTATTTCTTCTTTCTCCTTTTTATTATGCTAGTGAGGTTAGTCTCATCCTCATTTTGCAGTAAAGAAAGCAAAGGTTCCTCGTAAACTCCAGCGTTGATTTCCTTCAGCTAAAAATGTACTCCTTAGATTTAAGCAAATGAAAACTACAGAGAGTTGTCCCTGAGTGGCCCGTGGTTCCAGCACTCTCTCCTGAGTGCCAGTATCTGTGGCTATTCAAATCCTTTGCGTAAAATGGTATGGTATTTGTATATAACTTAGGCACAGCTTCTGAACTTAAAGATAACTATATACCTAAAAATTGGACCACTAGGTAAATAACTCCTGTATTGTATGTGTAACGGAATAGTAACAAGAAAAAAATCCTGTACATGTTCAGTATGGACATATTTTTCCTAATTTTTTTATATTTTAGATAAAGGAAAAAAAGAATCTCACATATGACAGCAAATTGATCCACATCCACAAGTTCATAGTTTTGAAAATATTGTATGTTGGGTTAGCTGTCAATGCAAGGTACTGCTTTTAGTAATATACAACATATCTGCCCTTGTTCTAGTATAAGAGGGGGTCTAAGTCATGAACAAACTACACTATCTTTAATTAGCTTACTAAAGGTTCCCTAAGGCCTCTGCCTTTGGTTAGAGAACTGAAGAAGTATAGCAGGGTTGCTCCTTTCCAGAAATTACTAAGTTTATCGATTAGGTAACTTCTTACTCAATAATTTTAAAACTAAAACAATCTCCACTATTGCACCCAGAATATAATTTACGCCGTGATAGAACAGAAGTCCAGAAAGCTTCTCTTTTCTCAGTGAAAACTGGTACTGAAAGTGAAGAGAAAAAGTAGAAGCCTTTGGGATCTGTTAGTGGGAAAAGTTCACAAAGTTGTTAGCAGCTGAGGAACAAAAAGTAACAAGGCTTTTTTTTTTTCAACGTGACCCACACGTAGAAAGCACACTTTACCCTAGAGAGTGTCTGAGAATCCAGGGATGTGGGTGAGCTTGTGAAGCCTGGGATTAGGGGAGAGAAGCCAACAGCAGCCTGTGATACCACACTCTGTGGGTTCATGGACCATCTCCTCATACAACACCCTGGTACTGGGACACACGGGAGCAGAGGGCGTAGGATGATACAAAGGGCAAGAACATTAAGAGTCATTATTAGCCTAGATTAAGAAGATGTTGGTCTATATTTGATTTTTTCCCAAAGTTGAAAGGTCATAGTAATTTATTTGCAAATATACTCAACCATTATTATGACTCAGCACTTCAATGAAATGAAAATTACTGAAAGCTTTTTGCAGGAAAGGACTCCAGGAAGGATAACACAGTACAGTAGTGGAAACCAAAACCAAAAAAGGAGAGGCTGGGGATTTAGCTCAGCGGCATAAGCCTCTGCCTTGCAAGCAGGCAGTCGCGAGTTCGAACCCTGGTATCGATGAAAAAGAAAAACAAAAAGACGACAAAAAAAAAGAAAGAAAAGAAAAAGAAACAAAACCAAGAAAGAAATTTTTAGATGGTTGGAGCGCTCTTGGCATGAGGTAGAAATACAAGAATAGCAAGCAATCAGAAAAGCCAGAGCACTTGCTAAAAAATTATACTAAATAAGTGATTACAATGATGAACAATAGTGTTCAGTGATTTGTCCATTTTATTATACATTCATTTGCTGGAATCAAAGGGAATATCTTTACCTCTCTGCCGAGATCTCAGGTCTCAGGCCCTGCTAAGCAGCTGATGGTCCTCTGACACACGTTTGATGTTGAGTCCACACAACATCAAACCTAGAAGTAGACTAGAGCCTGGGTGGATCTCCATATTGACATTTATAAACTGCAATTTAACTCTCTAGGGCCCAGTTACTTTACCTGTAAAAGGAGGATAGATCCTACCCTACAGGATTCTTGTGAGCACTGAACAATTGAATACACAGTGCTTTAAAAGCACTGAACCTTGTAAGTAGTACTGTGAGTATTTGGTAACAGTGCCCTACCTGGGCACTGTTCCAGGCATAGAGGATACAGTTTCAGTTTCCAAAAAGCTTTCATATATTTTATAATTCCCTTATTCTGAAAAACTCTAAAGCAATGGAACAAATAATATTTGTCTACACCTTAAATATATAGAAGACTGAAGTCCAGAAAGGAAGACTGGGTGCTCCCAGCCAGATTCACAGTGGAGGACCCAAGACTAGAGGCCGGGGCCACCCACCAGCAGAGCTAAGATTGCACCACTTGCCTCTTCCTCCTGAGGCCTGTTCTTGACAAAGTCTATTCCCACCCTGTTTCCCAGGGTTTCTGTTACTGTTGGAAGAGTTTTCAACTCTCTGTTAAGCAACACTGTTTCTCAAGCTGTTGGTCAAAAAGTACAAAGTTCTTCTCTCCTAAGGGTTACTTTGTCTCTATGGATGTTGTGAAATACATAAAACCTGGGCAGGCAGCCCAACGCCATGACTCGTCAATTCTGTACCTTGTGAAACTTTGAATATACATGAGATAAAGAAAAAAGGCAGTTCGTGGCCATGCTGCTACTGGAAGGCGCCGCGGTGGCTGCACACTAGGTCTCCTAGGAGGTCTCAGGCCCAGGAGGTGCCACAGCCTGGATTCCGGGGTGCCAGGGGCTGTGCTGACAGCCTCAGGGATTGATAAATTCCAGGCTAAAGTAAAAGCACTTGGGGAAAGTCTACTTGTCTGCCACACTCAAATCTGGACTGAGGGCCGTTTTTCAAAAGGACCGAAAGTGCTCAGCACATGTAAGTCTTTATTTTGGAAACCGCAGAGGACAACAATCACAATATCCCCCTAATTCCAGGAAGGACACGCTGTCCAGGAAGTAAAGGGTAGCCCAGCCTGGAGTTCACAGAGACTGGGGCTTGTGCATTCTGGCTTAAGGGCTATTACTGGGTGCTGGGGCAGTTTCCCCCTGGTCTTCAGCAGCGCTTAACAGCCCACTTGGGACTCATTTGGAACAATATGGTGCTCAGGCTCCCAAGAGGCCCTGAGACTGATAAAGCAAGAGGACTGGGCCACCTGCAGGCAGCTTCTCAGAAAAGCAATAGCGGAGTCTTCCGCTCCCAAAGGGAGATCCCTTTCTCCTTTACTCCCTGAACGAAGGGGCCTCCTCCTCCATATTGGGAAAAGGGTGACTGACTGCTACATGCGGGCACACCCGAGAAGCTCCCTCGGGGGCTGCATCCTCGATCTCCACTCATCTGACCATAATTAGATCGCACTGCAGTAGCACAGGCTAATCCACATTCTCTTGCGTTATCTAACATTATCATCACGCTTATTATTTTTAAAGCACATCAGTGTTTCTTTAGCCTACCAAAGTGCAGAAGAGCAAATCTGTCCTTCAGTAGGTGCAAAGGCCCCTGGTGCATCAGAAGCTGCAGGATTCTACACCTGCAGCGGGGGTGACCACAGAGACCTCCTGCATTGCTGCAGGCAGCAAGCACTGATCACTCCCCAAAGATCAAGGGGCTTCTTCCAAAGGAAATGCTCCTTTGGCTTGGGAGGGGAGGGCTCCCATTCTCTAAAGTTTTGTTCTTAGAGTCAGAGGTACCGGAAGACTTCCTACTCAGGCTCAGGAGCCCAACAGGCGCTCACAAGTGACTGAAAATGAAAAGTGAAAGTTTAAGCAGCTACGCGGAGCAAAACCTTTCCGGCTAGCAGAGAGCCTCGGGCCCCACACCCGCCACCCTCCGGTCCCCACGCCCGCAGCCTCCCCCACGGGCACCTACTGAGTCCGGGCGAGAAGGATCAGCCTGCTTCTGCAGCCCGGAGGAGGCTCCGCCAGGATTTTGGCTGCGGGGCGGGGCGCGGCCCCCTCCCCGTCCCCCTCCTCCCGAGACACCGCCCCGCCCCGCCCCCGCCTGGACCCAGGCCCGCCCCTGTCCGCGGATCAGGCCTGCTGCAGGCTCAGCTAGGCTCTGCACCGGGCGGGGACTCCAGCGGATGAGTCTGGGCTTTGTATCCTCAAAGTTTCCGGGGAGACGCTGGGACAGGAGGAGGGCAAGGAGAGTAGTGCACCAAAGATCTTCATACTGAAATTTGAAAGTTTAAAGAAAAAAAAAAACTTTATGAAAAAGTAGAGATCACAGGGTAAAAGTCATTGATAGAGATCCTTTAGGTTAAACCTCACTTTCCCTGGGCCTGTGGCCAGGGATCTGAGCAGGCTCTCACCCAGGGCAAGGGTTGCTGGTATGATGGTTACAAAGCCTCGACCCCAGGCCCTCCGCCTCCAAGGCCAGCACAGAGATTACAGGGGATGGGATCTTAAATCAGCTGCATGTGTGCGTGTGTGTATGTGTGTGTTTACAGGAACAGAAGTGTTTTAGAAAGGCATAGTTACTATCAGTAGCCAGAATCAGCCTATTCCAAACCTTCTGTACCTTACAATCCCCACAGTAATAAGTATGAATCTGTCTTCCATGGGTTTATCTGAATAGTTTTACCAACTTATATTTTAGTCTGTATCATTTCCTTCCCAGTAATACATCTCACACGTTTTCCACATATGGTTAGGTGTGCGCTTTTTTAGTCCTAATTTGATCCCCCCTATTTTAAGGAATCTTCCAGGACAATTTAGGTTTGTCTTGTACAAAACGAAAAGAAAAACAAGAAATTTGTATCTTTTGGGAACTGTATTTACTCACCTATCTCTGTAGATTGCAAACTGGGTGTGATATTAACTGCAATAGGACAAAACGTGAACTGAGATAAACTTGTTCCCTCCAACAGAAGATAGGACTCAAACTATTTAAAATACTTTGATTTGTTACGAAATGAAACAGCCTAAGGCCTGTGATTACAGCAAAAGTTGCAGGAGAGCTATTATTTAAATAATTTTATCTGCAGAATGTCAGCTGAACAGTTCTAGTCTGTTTCTGAAAAGGGGATTCACCTAATAATTTAATTATAAAATATGTTGAAATTTTTAACTAATCAATCAATAGGTGTTCCTCTTCTAATAATCTTAACAATTATTGCCATGACATATGTACATGGACCACTACTGATGTAATATCAGCACTTGACTCTAATACATTTAATCCAGCAAACACTGAATGAAGGCAAAGTAACTGATCTGACATTAAAATCTAGAACTAAGGTCAGTAACATGAAATGGTTATTGTCAAGCAGTTTACAGTATAATACACGCAAAGGCTAAAATGAAAAGTAAGCTGTCATTAAACTTGTAGAAAACAATCTCAATTTAGAAATAGGACTGCACATGAAGTAAGAAGTAACAGGAAAATGTGGTTGAAGGAATCAAAACTTTCTACTCATCTTTGTAAGCTTTTAGTGAGAAGAGAGTTACTCCCATTGTTTTAGTTTTGGGTGAAAAGAAATCAAAATTTCAAACTTTCTTCTCACCCTTTTAATCAGCATAAAATCTGTCAGAGAAACTCAAGCCAAGGTTCAAGCCATGTAATTCCCTCAGTAAATATTTAAACTGTTTCAAAAGTTGTTTCTTTGAGGGTGTGTGGTGCAAAGGACATTTAGCAAAGAGTAGCTCCCACGATAAAGAGTGCAAACCTGATTTTTGCAAGAATTGAATCAGAAATATCTGGAGAACAAAGCATTAGGAGTCTAGGAGTTCCTGTCGTCTTAAAAAAAAAGATGGAGGAGAAATATCAGAAAAGATTGTCATCACCACTGGACTAGGCTTTTGTAAGTGAGTGGAAAGCAGGTGCCTCTCACCTTTCCAGTTATCTTTTTCTCTAAATTCACAGAATAAGCACCCCCAAAGTCTAAGAAGGAAAGCCCTACTTGAGAATTTCAGAAAAAATGCACAAGATTCTGTCTAAAATTTAATGGAAACAAAAAGTGAGAAAAAGAAGCAACATTATAATGTGTGATTGTTATCGTAGAATTGTACTATATTTTTAAAGTGAATATTAGATTGCTTACTTCTGTCAAGAATCTTAGAAGAGAGTTTTTATTTTTTGTATTCTGTACATAGACACAGACCTGGAACAGCTTGGAAGTTTTGCTAACTTCTGAAATAAACTCTGAACCTAATACCTGCAAGAGTCCCAAAGAGTCACAATGAGAACAGACCAAATAACAATAAAATTCTTAAAGCTAATAAAAAGAATACAGTACTAATATCATTCATGACTTAAATACTTCTCCAAAGACCCCACTTTCAATACTACCACAATGGAGGCAAGGTTCACCATGAATTTGGGGGAACATTATGGATATCCTGACCATAACAGAGCCATAAAAGAACTTTCTGGAATAATGCTAATGATCAGGACATTGGTCACACATGAGTATGAATTTGTCAGAATGCACTGACCTGCCGCGTCATGTGCCTTTCACTATATACAAATTATATCTCTAAAACAAAATTCACTTTGAAAAAATCCATGGATTTTATGAAAAGTGGCAATAACCTAAGACTAAAATAATTAGAAGTAGTGCCACCTTAATATTGAATGGAAAGTACCATAAACAGCTGAAAGCCTTGTAAATTATCAAGTAAATAGGTCATACAGGAGAACTACCAGTTTATATCTATGTTTCTGCCTCTTCTAGGGAAAAGGTAGAAACCATTGTCTATTCTCTTGTTTGTTCCAGAAGAGGGAATGTTCTTAAATGCAGGAAATGATTCTTTTCATTCATGCATCCAGGCAACAATACTCAAGCTTGCCAGGATTCCGTTTTAAACATTTCAAACAAGCATCATTCGTGGGATTAATGATTACCTTTCCAGGACAAACCACTCAAGGGATCAGTGCACCCTCTAAGAGACCAGGGATGATAACTGGCCACCCCAGTCCCAAAACTCTATATGTGTATTAATTTTTATATAAATGTGGTCAACCCCCTTCTGGATAGGTGATATATTAATAGTTTTAAAACACTGAATTCATAGAATAAGACCTGAAAATATTTCACGTTCAGGAAACTGACACTGTACATTATTTGCTCTCTCTATAATTGCTTTAATATCATGTAGGATTACTGCCTAAAATTACTAGAATGTACACATAAAATTTACAAACATTTCTATCATGGAGCCTCTCTTAGAAAGATTACAGCTTTCCATGGGCAGAGAGAAATCCCTTGCTAAATCTTTGTAGAATCTATTTTTTTTTCCTGCCAAACTTGTTTAAAATTCTTCTTTTTCTCGCTTTTGATTTAGTAACTTTAGATCTCTGCATTATGTTGTGTTTTTCAGGGAGTTATTGACTTCAGCTAAGGAACCGTGAACAGTAATTATTTTGCATGACTAAGCTCTGGTACACCATTGTCAGACAGGCACTTTACAGTACCACTAGTTTCAAAATTTAGAACAGAACTGTCAAACAAGCAAATGCCTACACCAAAGACTTCTATTTTCAAGCTACAGGCATGAGTTCTATGATGTGCAATAATAGAGTAAATCTTTGTGTTATTGTGAAAGCTTCTGATTTGACAGTCTTGGAAGCAAAACCCTGTTTCTTTCTAGAACAGATTTGCCTGTGGTAGCAACAGTATACATTTCCAAGCATGGCTGAAGTTCAACATCAGTGCTGGAAAGGAGTGCCATTATTAAACGTTATTAAGAATTGTTTTTGTGGTGGGAAGCAAACAACTTACCCCAGACTGAGAACTTCTGAATTGGTTCACCTCAGATGGACATCTTTCCATACATTTGACACAACTTCCACACATTTATCAATTAAAATTTGAGCATGAGAAACATGCCACAGCCAAAACCAGTGTTTGTCAACATTTTACAAAGTGTAAGCTTGACGTATATCATACAAACATTAGCAGTCTGACATGTGTATTTTATATGAGTTAAATGTCGTTTCTCTATCAGCTCTGCCTCACATGGCCCATGCAAAGACATAGAATTTAGTTATTTCTGTCCCCAAAGTTGACCTTTTATCTTTTTTAGAATTTTGAAAGACTTCAATATTTTTTTTTCTACATGTTTTTCCTTCCGCTAATAATTTGAGCCTTAAGACAAATTTCTAGGACAAATATTATCTTCCTTTCAGAGACAAGGAAATTGAAGAAAGGAGGTTGATTGACCTTGAAATGTCACATGGCAACTAGAAAGAAAAGTGAGGGTTGAAAACACGGCCGACTTAAGGCCGGTGTCGCAGAGCAACCTGGCCCCAGTGTGTGAGAAACGGCCTGAAGGTGCCTGGAAGCGGAAGCCGAGACGGCCATCCGGGACTGCACAGTGTGGCAGAAGCATGCTCCAGGAGGCAGCATCACTGCACTTTGGATCTGAGGACAGGGGCTTTTAAAGTACTCAGGACAGAAGAGATTTCAATCAAGCTAAACTATACCTGTTTCCTTCTCAAGCTAAAACCCAAAGGCTTGGGCACATTCCTGGTGTCAGCAAATAAAGCCCCACATGCTGCTCTGATGGTTTTGTCCATGTGTAATATTTGGTAACCTGCAGTGAAAACCTAACCAGGGTTACTGGGATAATCACTGTGGTTATGAATCAACATGGTGGCCGTCATGTCAGGCTGAATCCATATAGGTGGACTGCATTCAAATGCTGCATCTCACAGATGTCTCGGTCTATAAATATTAAAATATCTCAAACATTTTAAATCTATCTTCGTTATTGGCCCAGGCCATCATTCACATTCTCTAAAATGAGTTCACACTAATGTAGTTAGTATTGCTGCTTTATAGATTAGAATTCCAATGTAAGAAGTAAAATGAAGTTCTGTCTTTCCATTCATCAGACTATTCCTATGTACTTTATTGTGATGGTTAACTATGGTGTCAGCTTGAATAAGCAACACCAGCTGATTGGTTTAGCAGTTTTGGTTGTGTCTGGGTGATGGATTTAGTGAAGAGGGAAGACTCACCATAGAGTGGGTGTTACCAACCACAGGCTTTTGCTACTTTCAAGGGGCTACAG